GAAATCGGATTCGTTGACAAGTTAAGGGACCTCATATGAACTTATTCCTATCTGTGGGGATTGGGCCCCGATCCCGGCCGTTCCCGGCCCAACCGAACAAGCACTTAATTTGCATCAAAACCCTCCTGCAATCCTTGCATGCATTCTGCGTGTCGAAAGAATGATTCTGTGCATGGCAAACGTGAACAAATTAAGCAAACAAATTTGACAGCAATTTCGCTTCAGAGTTCAGATGCTTTATTTATGAGATAATCTATTCTAAATCATTAAGTTTGTTCGAGTACAACGATTTGACATTGACATTGTCTCTTTCTATAATATATCGGTGACTTTATCAATTGTTTTATAATACGCTATTGGGTTAGGCATTCTTTTCAAAAATACCCAAAATATCCTTATGAACATACTAGGTTAACAATTGATTTATCTCCCAAAATATCCTTATGTGGCCTCCTTACGCAACATGGAAATTTGTACAGGAGTTTCAAGTTTTTTACATTTCTTTTTTTAAAAAATTTATAACTTATCTTTTATATGGTATATAAAAGTATTTATTATTATTATTTTTTAATATAAATCATCTTTCACATACTAAATTAGATATTTTTATGCTATCACTCTTGTATAAGCAAATTTTCTCTCGTATGCCACGAAAAAATATTTTTTTTTTAAAAAAATAAATATACCAAAAAAATTAAAATTTGTATACAAACTTTCATGTTGTATAAGGAGGCCACATACAAAAATCATATTTTTTTTGAAGCTTCTAATAAGATAAATCAATTGTTTATTTTGTATGTCTCTAAGGATATTTTTGAAAATAAGGTCCAGCCCTGGCATATCGTAGAACAATTGTTAAAGTCGCCGGTATATTATAGAAAAAGACAATGTCAATAGCAAATCGTTGAACTCGAACAAATTCAGTGGTATAGAATAGATTATACAGCAACTACGCTTGTGCTATATCAGGAGGAAACATACGTCTCGGGTTCCCCCCGAGTGCACCCATACTGCCATCCAATAGTTCGGTTTACAACAGACAAGTATACAACGTACGAACCATCTGAAAAGAGGGAGGTCTTCTCTATTTGTGGAGAACGGAAAACATGGGATTAGGGTCTGAAAATTTCTGGGAGCTGGTTTGGATATTTGTTGGATCCATTTTTCGCTTGAGAAACCCCAAAATTTGAAATTGGAAATAGTATAGGGGAACTCTGGGTGATGCTTAGGCTTGGTCCTTTTTTAAACCATTCCGAGACATACTAGAACGTGGGAAGGTTTAGGATTGCAAGATCAAACCTTTTATATATAGGGGTTTGGCCGGTTTAATTGGAAAAAAAAACAACCAACAACATAACATCCAATTAACCATTGAATCGTTTGTTCAGTTTTACATCTATTTTCCCTCAGCTTTTACCCTAGTTCATCCATTATCGTCAGTATTACGATGTAAGCCGTCCATCTTCATCGCGAGAGTTTTGAATCTTCTTATAGATTTATCGCAAAAATCTTCCGTTCATCTTATAAGATGGTTGGTCACTTGTCTAATCCAGCCCGCTAGTCGGCTTTGATTTGGAAATTCATTCTGATTGGGAGCTTTTCAAGATCAATGTGGATACCGCAATGTTTTAGGTGAATCACGTGGTGATGAAAAAAAAACGTGAATGCGTTGTATTTTGTTCAGACGACGCATGTAGCACGCCAATTCATTGCCAGTGGACGGCGACGGCTACTCGACATCAATTTCCATCATGGAGACTAATCAAGCAGGTGACCGAGAATCACTAACAAGAAGCTTAGAAGTTGCCATTGTAATTATGGATACGGTCATAAGCATCCATATAAATAGATGATACCCCGCACTTTGCTACGGGATATATGTTAGATATTGATGAAATGATTTAGATTAAAATATTATGAAAATAATTTTAGAATGATGATTTAGCATATGTATGTTTAGTTATATGTATGTTTAGTTTTAGAATGAAACAAATTATATGTATAATTACTACTTGCATGCTTACATGTTGAGCTTTACATATTTAGTGTGCATTAGCTCTATAGTGAAGGGATATGCAGGGATCATCCATTAATCCTCTGTTTTCTTTGTTTTATTCTGCTTAATTATCATATAATTCCAGCCTTTGTTGGATTTTTTTTAAAAAAAACCCTTGCGTAGTGTTTAATTGCACGGACCTAATAGTTGGGAGTTGGGAACAACCGAGTCAAAAGAACAAAAACAAGGAAGCCATAGTTTGGCTTATTTTAAGCATAAGCGAAACTGCATATTTAAAAAAAATAATAATTTATGAATAAAACTTTTATATACGTGTTCTTAGCGATCTAAAAGCAAAAGCTAAAAAAATAAATTTTGATAAAAAAACTTCAAAATTAATTTTAAATTTAAGGTTGAAAATTTAAATTTTAACTGATAAGTATAAGCATAAGCGAAAAAGATAAGTCCGCAAAACTATAACACTGCCGATTGATCGGAATATCT